TGTTCCTTGGGATGCTCACAAAGTTCAAGGAGAAATTGGGTGTATGACAGATGATGCTCAGCCCCCCCCCCCCCCCCTTACATATCCATTAAGCTTTTTGCACTTTCCAGGCTATATCTGGCTCTTCTGGAAGAGCTATAAGTCCGGCATATTATCATCTCATCACACAGCTTACATGCAGGAATCAGCAGTCTTTGCAGACATATACCCTTAGATGAATTTAAGTCCTTGTTTAAAAATAAAACAATTGTGTGCATGATATATTTGGGTAGAAAAAAAGAAAAAAGTACCATTTCATATGGCAATATATCAGCTCCTGTGTTTTTTTAAGAAGGGGAAATATTTACGGTGGCTATTTTTCATAAAAATTATAACTAGCTTCTGTATTTGTAGAAAAGTTGTGGTTTTGCTTGCGGCAATGTTTTCCTTTAATGGATGACTATGGTGTTAAAGAGTGGACTCTCCTCGCATTTTAAGGGAACTCAGCAAACAAAGGATAAAAGTAGTTTTTGGGGGATAGGGTTTTTTTTTGTAATGGTTACCCTCAAAGTTAATGTTGTGCTATTAGCCTTATGATTGCCCATGACTAAATTCAAGCTTGGGAATGTGCCACTGAATGGGCAATGTACAGGATGCTCCTCCATTGTGTTTGGATAGCAAGCACAATGAATGCACGCTGCAGTACGGCGAACTGAATGACACCAAGCTGTATGTGAATGCTCTGTGTCTCTGCCCTTTTGTCATGTGACTCGTCATGTGATCCCCAAGGAACTGATGACTCTCCTGCGGTGATAATGAGTGTTAGTAGAAGCGAAAGGGGAACAGGAAAAGGGTGAATAAGATAGCAGCTTTCTCTGTTCCGGACATAAAAGCACGCTACATGCTTTCCATTGCCTCACATAAACACAAATTAAGTGAAATGGACAGTGACATATGTTAAAAAGAAATATGCTAAATATTTCATGCTGCAAGCAATTTAAATGTCACAATTAGTGACTTACGTACATTAAAAATAATTAACTTATATATGTATATACACACACAAAGAAATGAAAAATATAATCATGTGATTACATATAATTCCTACATACATCACAAATGAAAAATACATATCTGTGTTGATACAAATGTTAATGTGCCACAATGAAGACAATAAAACAACAGAATCTGTCCAAGTGAAGGCAGGCCCACACAATACGATGCCCAGGTACATGCTAGAAATCGGGAAGTTCGGGAATTTTCCTGGTGGGCCAGTCTTGTGGGGGCCGGTCTTTCTTTACTGATGCTGGCATTATATAAATATACTAAGGGAGACCCCCATGGTATACCAAAAATATACTAAGCCCCCCCACCCTTCCAGTCAGCAACAAAATTTCAAACTGGGGGGGTTGACAGCAAATTCCTGAGATGCTTTTTATTGCCAGTCCGCTCCTGATGATGCCCCTTAAGGAATGAATAGCAAAACTGAAACCGGTTAAGCATCTGCTACAAGACAGATAAAGAAAGCAAAACCAAGAAGTCTAAATGTGGGGACATCGTTCCTCTGGCATTTGCCCAGCTGACCCAGTCAGGGCCAGCCGGATGTCAGCGATTGCGTAACCATGGGGATGGGGATCATTCGCTATGGAAACAGCAAAGCTCGCTGAAGCCCCGGCCCCTGCTGTTGCCGGGCCTCTGCTGCCACAGAAGGAAGCCGGAACGATGCAGTAAAGCAGAGAGAGCCTGAAAATGTCTGCTCAGACAGATGATTCAGGCGTGGAGGGTACGCGTGTCACCGACGGTAATCTCCTGGAAGATTGCTGTAAAGAACATGCTGTTTTAGGACATCATGCGGACTCTCTGGCTCTTAAACATACTGCTCGCAGTTTCCCAGCTGCGTTTCTTGTTTATCTGTCCTACTGCCACGTGATGTCTTTTTTTTCCTTGGCTGCCTTATAAATCAGGGGGGTTTGAATCTTTATGAAACCAGGGACCCCAACAAATGAAATCTATGATCACTTAAATAACTAAGAAACCCATGAATATTTAATATTTTGCGTAAACCTGATGATTACATGATGTAACATCAGTACATTGCTGCGGACCCCCTGCTCTGTGTTAGGCTCTCAGAGCAGAGGTTACAGTTCATCGTAGTAAAGCATGTAAAAGATAGCAGAGGGACGCCTTAGACCCCCAGCGCCACGTCACGCTCCCCCAAGACTCATTTCCTGTCGGCCACATGTGCACTTCCTGCTCCTGTGTCTGAAACTGAGTGGTCCTGATCCCAGCGGAGCCTGCTGCCCACTGTCACACGGAGCTGCATGCTCCTCTGAGGCTGGTTTATTCACCCCCCCGAATGGTAAGGCACGAAATCGCTCTTCTGACAAGGCCTGCGAGTGGAGAGCGTTCCGCATGACGTCCCACTCCAGCCCTCCACCTGCTGTGCACGTCCTGGGAGTGATCCCCCCCCAGCAGCATGCACCATGCCCTGATCCCCTATGCTGCCATCCAGCTAAATATAACGACCGGTGCTGCTCTGTCAGAATGGCACCACATGCCCTTCAAACTCATATTCCTGACTTGTCACCGGGGCGATGGGGAGTGTTCGCTTGGCCCTGAGGCCCAGGGAGGCGGCATTGCAATCATAAACCCTTAATGAATAAATGAATATTATCAACTCCATTGGGGAAACATTATAAATGCATAATTAATACATGTTAGTTTCCTCTTATTCATTGCAACCTTTTAGCGGAAGGCTTGTTTGCATTTCAGACTGGCCTTGCGCTAGAGGGAAATTAGCTGGCTGATGCTGGTAAAAGACATGGTCATGTGCTGGACTCATTCCATCTGCATCTACTTTAAACCTTAAACCACTACAGTGACCCCTGTGTCACTAATGCAAACATCTGCAGGGAATTAACTCCCCCTTTCCCCCCCCCCACGTTAATGACGGCCTTTCGGATCAGAGCGATTAGCGGATTTCTGGAGAACGGCTGAGCGTCGGCTTGAAGGCCGTGCCTCGTTAATTCGAGACTCGCTCTTGGACGCACTTACATAACCGAGTTGTTTTGCCTCGGAGAGGGATGGGTATCTGGAAAACGGCGAGCGTCGCTAGGGCTTAAGCTAATCAGCTAAAATGTGGAAATCTGCGGAGTGTGCTAATTAATCCTCTCTCGGATTCATCTTCCGCCGCCGGGTGATTTCTTGACTTCTGCTGTCGTCCACCCCAATCCGAGTTTGATGTCTCTGTCACTCAATAGGGAGAAGGACCGGGACGATGTAATCGCTGCATAGCTGTCGCTCCTGTGATTGCCATCACTCCTGTGAGCTTATTAGCACTTCAACCATGACTCAGAAATAGTCCACGGACCTGTTTCTGTCCTACTCAAGTTGCTGCCCCTGTATGGGTGCAGTCAAGTCATATGAAGCAGCTCTGAAGTCTGACACGGTTTGCCCAGTATGGGGAGGAATTTGTCAGTGAATCAGTATTCCACCGGAGGCGTTGACGGACAGCTTGCCGTTATTCACAATTAGTCACGAATCACGAAACCTTAGCAACAGACAGACAGAAGAGTCAAAATGTACGAGATTTCAAGGCGACGACTGTTGGCGTGCGGATGGCTTGGCTTTGAGCAAACGCAGAACGAAAGAAGCCGCAGCACGGCATTAGCAGTTAGACTGTGAGGTAGCTCAGGTAGCTTGTTGACTTTAACTCTGTTAGGTTACGTTACGAAATACATGGAAGTTACAGTATAGCTACCGTAATGTTCGCTCAAATCAGTTGAACTAGCTACAGTATTAAATTGTCATTTTTGTTATTCAAATAGAAATTAACAAAGTACCATGTCTGCAACTGTGAACTATTACCCTTGAAGAAATTAATAGGCTTTAATACAGCTAATTGACGTATACCTATTGATTGTGATATTGTCTTTGCAAATGAAATTCTGTAGACTGAACAATTCACGCATCATGCTGTGTTTTTACAGGTTAAGAATTTTTTGTAGCTAAATGGTCCATTGAGAGGCAGTACAGTCAGCTCTGAGCTAATAAATGCTTATTGCGGTTGATCTCAGAATGCATGCGGAGTCATTAGAGTGCTTTGATGTTGATGTGAAGTGTTTTTCGTGTCCACAGCAACGTAACTCACCGCAGTGCTGAAAGCCCTCTGCGGAAGGTTCATAGAAGAGAGTCTTGGGAAGTCAGCACAGTCTCGAGTGATTTATTGCTTTTATGAAATATATTTTATGTATATAACAGGTACTGCCCATCTACAAGATAGTATAATAGAGAATTGGTTCCTGGTACCTTTGTACAGAACTAACGTTAGTTATCGTGGACAAGAGGTTTACTACCAGGTTATATGCGAACACTGCAGTGCTACATGCTAGCTAGCTAATTGCTGTTTGTTTACTTGTATATTTATGCGATTTGTTTGAGGCGGAGTGTTCCCTTTAACTCTGCAGCTTAAAGTCTTTGGCCCAACATGGCTTGACCACAGGGAAGCTGCAGCATTGGTTCACGGTGGGATATGAACTCAAGTTCGGCAACCTGCCTACTCGCAATTAAGCCCAATATCTTCTCACTGTATTCACGCTCAGCTTGGGCATGAGACCAAGGTTTTATTGTGCTTCTCTGCAGAATGAGTCAGTGTAGAAACCATAAAAGCCTCACTATGAAGCTTTGACTGACGTCGAGGCTACAGCTGATCACCGTGATCTGCTCCCAGCATTGTACATTATTACTGTATACTCGCCCACAATGCCTACAAACCCAATTAGTGATGGGGGCTGGATTTTTAGATAGGTAACAATGTAACAAGTGGCCTCACACCTCCAGTGTTGGGAGTTTGCACCCTTGGCTCTGCGTGTTTGAGGTTTGCTGAAGCTTCCGGGTTACCATGACCCGGCAGATCGGTGTTTTTTCATCCCAGTCTTTGGCGACCCCCTGATGTTTTTGCTTCCTCTCAGCTTCCAACACACCTGTAGCAGGTTTTCAGCGTTCTTGCTCGTTTGGTTCAGGTGTGCTAGGATCTGGGAAGGAGAAAGAAGATGGGCCGTCTAGGAGTGGACTGCCTTGTAGGTGGAAAGCAGAGTGGACGATGGATGGCTTTTTAGTATGGAAGCGAGCATGTAAGTGAGCACATGATTTTACTAGCTACGTATGATAATAAACTTGAACATGATACTACTAAGCTCTGAGCCATTAAATAAGGCACTGGTGTGCAGAACATAAAAACATATTCGTTTCATCTCTTAAAATGCATGTACTTTTTGAGATGCCCTAAAGGCGTATGTGAAAGGTTAAAAAAAGACATGCTACTGTATTACCGACATTTATTTTACTGCCATTCCTCACGTAACAGGCCCATTGGTCAGACGCACAGTGGTCAGACGTACAGGCTTGAGATGAGCAGCCACTCACTGTCCCCTCATACAGGCTTGTAAACCCCCCCCCCCCCCCCTGCACGCGCACATGCCAACCCCTCACCCATCCACAGGTGCGCTTCATTGAAGTACAACCTCGCCCACAAAAACATTTGGCCAGGTCAAGATGGCCCTGTTTCCAGCTGGAGGCAGACTCATTGAAATTCAAATTAACCTCCCTGAGTACTTAACATGGGCAAAACAGAGGAAGACACATTATTGTATGTATCTGCTCATCGGCAAAATTAATTAAGAAATGTGTTAGTGGGGTAGGGGTCAATGAATGCAAAAAAATGGGTTGCTATGGAAATAGTGAAGTAGGGCTGATTTTCAAGTCAGGAAGAAATGCAGTCACTCAGTAAAAATGGGTGTAAGACAACAAGAGGTATAGGTGCCATTGGAATGCTGGGTTTTTAACCTGTACTGATCTGCTAAGAGGGTTAGACTCCAAGCTACACCATTCGCTTTTCATATGAGTGTCGCCCAAAGGAGGATGCTGATGTGATGGTTGACTAAGTAAGGAAGAAACCCTAATGTCGTTGCACAAGGACCAGCGAAACGTGCGCAGTTAACCGTTAATTGCATGAAAGCCATGGGATTTCCGTGAGTGTGGTAGCCAGGCAACCGGGAGGCTGCTCCAATCGCAGCACGTCGCGCGTCGCTCGCGCCCCGACGGCGCCCCACTCAGCCGACACGCAGAGACACGTCTTCGGGACGGTCGGGCCGGTGGGGAGCATCTCTAACACGAGGCACCGTGAGAGGTCCACGTGCATCTCACCCGTGATCCCTAGGCTGCCTGCTGTACTGGGGGGAGGAGTTGCCATTTGCGGTCAAGCGGGATTGCCTTGGGGGGGCTTTTGGGTCTTTCAGATGAGCAGCATTTTCAGCTGCTGAGACGTACTTTGCAATTCAGTTCAATTCGGCTGAGTTCAATTCATGTTTAAGTAGCGCCCTTCCCTCGATTCTACATCCTACAGCAGCAGGTGTGGAACCCCGAGGAACCGTGTAGCATGAGTCTGGAACGTGAATGCTCAGACGCCCGAGCGTTTTCACAGCCATCGGCCACGTCGGTGGCGCCGCCATCTGCCCGCGTGTGAGAGCCAGCAGGAGTGCTCGTCACAGTCCACCGTGGTACCGCTCTCTCGCCGTGCCTGGGCCGCCTCGGTGGAGAGCAGAAGCGGCATCGTGGAGAACATCACGCCACCGGTGAGTCAGGGCTTCGCGCAGACCATAATGGGCCGCTCTGACACAGGAACACGGTCGCTTACATAATGGAGACCTAACCAGGAGCGTAAGGCTCCTCGCCGTGCCCCCCTCTCAGACGCTGATGGGAGGGGGTGGGCTTTCTCCTCCTGATGATGACTTAGAAATGATTTTGTAGGACACAAAGCTTTGTGGCCGTCTAGTAAGCGGTCACATGCCCAGAAGCCCGCAAGCTCCACCCTCCTGAAAGACCCCGTGTGTTGACCCCGTGAGAGCCCTTGATGTCACCTTGATGTGCTTAATCCTGATAGCTTCGGCTAACATCTCACCACTCTCCGTCTGCGGGCGTGCACTTTCCCAACATACACAGAGCTCTGGGAAGGACAGCAGGTGGATCTCACCAGGTCCTGGGCCTTCTCTCCCTGAGGCCGGGCCAGCCCAACTCGTATGTTGACTTATACAAAGTCACCTGGGTTTCTTTATTTCATTTCTTTCCTTCCTTCTTCCTGTTCTGTATTCCTCTCTCTAATGATGTTTTAATATACCTCAACGCATCCATGTAAAGCGCCTTGGGATGACACTGTTGTGAAAGGCGTTATATAAAAATAAATTTAATTGAATAATACAAAGGTCAGACTAAAGGGGCGGAGGCCCGGCACTGATGACAGACTTGGCCCCACCCACAGTGAGGCTGGCTTGGCCCCACCCACAGTGAGGCTGGCTTGGCCCCACCCACACTGAAACAGGCTTGGCCCCACCCACAGTGAACGCTGGAGTCTCCTTGCGGTGGTGTCGCTGTCATAGGTCACCTGATTTTTTTTTTTCACTTTGTTTTTTTAAATTTCAGATAAATCGGACAGGATTGAAATGGCACGGTGACGCAATGAGTAGCACTGTCACCTCCCACCTCCAAAGGTCCTACCCCTGTCACCTCCCACCTCCAAGGGCCCTACCCCTCAGCACTGAGTCTGTGGCCTTTGCATCTTCTAGCTGCGTCTGTGTTTTTCTCATGCAGTTAGGTGACTTGGCACACTGGTGTGTGCCCTCCGATGGACTGGCAGACCATCCGGGGTGTCCTGTACTCTGTGGGATGGGATGCAGGCTAACCAGGATGGGTGAAAGAATGAAAATGTTTGAATCAGCTCCCTGCTGAAGGCAGATCAGGGCGAAGATGCATTGCAACCCCCTGGTGTGGTTTTGCTCCACTTTTCTGGGGGAGGTGTCACACGGGAGCCATCTTGATGTCACATCCTGTGATGCCTATTGCCGAAACAGGTCACAATCTCAATATTTGTTATTATCCCTCATACACTTGCGTTTGAACCGACACGGTGAGACACCTGACTCCTGAACAGGCTGATCCTGCCACATGAGGCCGGGCGCCGATCTCACACACACGCTGTAACATCCCTCACGTGTGGCATCGGACACCAGATACGGCGGTTTGTCAGGTACAGCCCACAGGGACAGGGTCCAACCAGCGTGAACAATCCATCATCACTCATCATCCTCTCAAAAACACAGGGACCAGAGCTGCAGTGTCAGAAAATTCCAGAAAAGAGAGCAGTCATACATATGAAGTCAACTTAAAAGCTATAATGTCAGTATAACTATTTTTTTCTAGCAAAAAGTATGGAAAATGTGTTTTTACAGTAGCTGTGTTTTATAGTAACTGTCCAGGTGTGACTCTTAAAACAGCCTGAGAAATCTCAGGTTACAAAGCAGCAAGCTAGTCTGATACTAAATGAACCTTTTTCAGACAGAAATGTGAATTTTCAAAGGACAATGAAAGATACCAGGATTGTGACCTGCTTCACTGCGATGGGTTGGCGCCCCTTCCTGGGCTGTTCCCTGCCTTCCAGGATAAGCCCCGGACCCCCTGCGACCCTATGCAGGACAAGTGGATACAGAAAATGGATGGATGGATGGATGGACCTATTTCAGCAGTACACACTGCATGATGCAGCTGGGCTTTGTGGTGCTCCTGCCTGTCTGCCACAGGCACATGGGGGATGGGGGTGCAGCTCACCTCCCACCCTCCCCTCTGCAGTTCCTCTCTCGTACCCTGATTGGGAGGGACCCTGTTTTGCCAACTTCATTGGCATGGCCTCTGCAAAACAGGCTTAAATAGCCCTAAATTTACGTACTGGTTTGTGGGTCAGTCTTGTTTTGTGTGTGTGTGTGTGTGTGTGTATTTTGTTGTTTTGGTGTCGTGGGGACCATTTTTCAGGTCCCCACAAAGATCTGTTAATGCAATCAAAAACTAAAAATGCCAAGTCTTGTATTTTGTTTGGTTACTTATGGCAAAGGTTAGGGCTGGGTGGGGGTTAAGGTCATCCTGTTGGGATTTGAGTTTTCCCCATAGAAATGAATGAGGTGTCCCTACAAAGATATAGATACCTAATCTGTGTGTTGGTTTGTGTGTCATGGGTCACATACTTCCTCCATCTGCTGGAGGTGCTGAGGCTGACTTCTTTAGTCCACCCGGGTTGGGTCGGGACACACGGTCCCCGGGGGTTCGAGAAACAGAAAAGTCAGAGAAATAGCCCATTAGGTGAACAAGGGCTTTTAGCTAAGGGGGGGGGGGGGCACGCGGCCTTTTCTGTTTCCACACTCAAGCCGAACAGATCCACAGTGGCACATGGCAGACGGGGGCCATCATACCCTACTCAGACCCTTAGCAAAGACTGTAAACCCTAAAATCTCCTGGTCACCCCCGGGCAGAAGCGGGCCTTAAATCTGTCCCAATAAACACGGGTCGCTGTGTGAGGGCCAGTCGTGCAACGGGCCAGTCGTGCAAGGGCCGGCCATGCGGTGCGCCGGTGCACAGGTACTTGGTGTGCATAATTGGTAAGCACTAGCGCATGGGTGTGTAGGCTTCGGACTCCCCGGGTGGTGGGGGTGGGGGGAGCGGGGTCTAATCCAGCACAATTCCTTTAGAACTTGCTGTTCAAAAGGAGTAACATTCTTAGGCCACCAAAGTGGCAGAAAAATAGTGAAGAACAGAACCAGCAGGGTGCTTTCATTTAGATACCAAAGGGTTCCATCCCCCCTCATTAGTTTTGGTCAATCTGACAAGAGAATGCAGAGTTGTGTCCGTACATGTCTTCTGCACCCCTAATCCCTACACATGGCCGCTCAGGGCAGGCCCGACTTCATCACCCAATGTCCCATTGAGTGCTATTGCGAAAACGGGAATCGCCGTTGTGAGTGGGACACACAGGGGGCGGGTCCTAGTCACAGAGCCTGCCGGAAGGCATGTGCTGAAGACTAGCAGCGATTAATCCTCTTTGGCGTTAAGCGGATGGTACACTGACCCCAAAAAACAGCTCTGAAGTGGCATATCTGGGCGCACAGAACATCCGAGAGTTGGGCTTTCAGCTTAATATGGACTGCGAACGCGTTAGCAGGATGCGATACAGATCATGCCATTGGAATGGGTTCCGGCGCATTTGGCGGCAGTGATAAGCCGCATCTCGCACTTCTTCAAAGGCGGACGTGAAATGACAGGAGGCAAAAATATGAAGTTTGTTAACATCAATGAGATGAATGTGGAATCTCCATCTGCCAATTGTGTCCCCACAGCTGGGTGCCTTCAAGAGAAAGACCATAAGATCATAAATATGAATATTTTTACAAGATGTCTCCAAGGAACATTATGGCCGCTGTGGCTAATACCGTTTCTTTACTCCAAAATCTTTGCGTTGTCTATGATTACTTTGAAAATGACCACCTAGTGGAATGTATATTTAATGAAATTTTATGTCCTGGAAGGACAAATTATTACTTTCATTTACATAATCTCAACCAATATAAATGTATAGTAAAATTACACAAGACACAGGTCAAAATTACTACAGAGATTAATATCAGATTTCTACTATGGGCTGAAAATGGAGCACTAGCACCCTCTGGTGGTAGATCGTAACTGCAAGCGGCTTCCCACATCCGCTATGATAAAGCACCGTATAATGTGTTTTAATGGATACAAATTAAATAACGATGGTTTCAAATAAGTGTATTGTAACATAAGTACGGTTTTGGTTGAGTAAAGCTATCAGAATAGTCAGAGCATCCTGTGGTGTGTTTAAATTGTAAATGTATCCACCATTGCTTCTCTCTGCAAGGTTGGGGTTTTGGGACCTGCTTCTGTTCTCTGTGTTTACATGTGGGTGGTGTGTCTGTGCCTGGGTCTGCACAGGTTGTGGGTTCTATTCTGTGGCAATGAAAGTGACCATATTGCCACTGGGCCCTTGAGTCATGCTAACTGTCCATGTCCCAGCTCTCCCCACTACAAAACTAACTCTCCATGTCCCAGCTCTCCCCACTGCAAAGCTAACTGTCCGTGTCCCAG